GGGGGGGGGGGGGAATCTTATACAATTATTGCAAATTGGGATTACATTCAAAGCAGTATTTATTTCTTAGATATAAATTTCCGATGTGTATTATTAGCACAGGGCTTTATGATCAATATCGTACCAATATTTTTAAACATTGACACAAGCAAAAGTTATTGTCTTCAACATAAGCTGGTCAGACATTTTCTCTTTATGGAAGTATCAAAATGTACCATCGTGATCACACTTTTTTTTCGGTGAATATTAACATATCTAGAGCATTCTTCAGAGACTGCACAAATTTAAAAGGATTGTATCTTGGGTTTGTAATGTTTTCCTTTTGTACAATATTGCTTATGACCATTAAAGCTCTTTAACACAAAACAGTCTAAAACACCAGTCGTAATCACGACATACCACTCGCTGATAATGTTCATCAGTGATCAATAATGTACAATTATGAAAATCATTTTTCAAAAATAATAACACTAGCAAAAGCTATTGTTTTCAAGATGAGCTGGTCAAACAAATCGCTTTATGGAAGTATCAAAATATAGTATCTTGAACACATTTTTCCCTGTGAATATAAACGTATCAGGAGAATACTCTCTCACAGACATCTCAAACTGGACAGTTTGCAGCATGCTCTTTCTCGTTTATGTTTTCCTTCTTTATAATATTATACCATATTGCTTATGACCATTACAGCTTCAGCAACACTAAAACTTCTCAAATATCAGTTGCAATTACGTTTCACAACTATCTGATAATGTTGAACACTTATGTACAATACCGAGACAACTAATAGTATGTTTGTTTGTTTGTTTGTTTGTTTGTTTGTTGGGGGGTTGGGGGGTTGGGGGGAGGAGCTTGTACAATTATTGTAAGTTGTAATTACGTTCAAAGCAGTATTTATTTCTAAGATATGAGTTTCCGATGCTGTATTACTAACCCAGGGCTTGATGATCAATGGTGTACAAGTGTTTTATAACATTGACACTAGCAAAAAGTTAATGTCTACAACATAAACTGGTCAGACATTATCTCTTTATGGAAGTATCAAAATGTAACATCATGATCACAAATTTTTCCCCTGTGAATATTAAAATATCTAGAGCATATTATTATTCCCTAAAGACTTTTCAAATTTAAAATGATTGTACCTTGGTATTTCGCGTTTATTATGGTTTTCCTCTTGTACAATAATCTTTATAACCCTTAAAGCTCTGTAACACTAAACAGTCTAAAATGTCACTAGTAATTACGACATACTACTCGTTGATAATGTTATTCAATTATGTACAATTCTAAGACAACTTGCCAACAAAGGGCTATTCTTATCCGGTCCTTCACCAGGTCAGGTTGAATTCTTTATTTAAAAAAAGGCAAAAGTGACTTCTTGCACTATTAACCCGTTTGTAAGAACTGAATGATTTAAATTCGTATTTTTTCGGACATTTGAATCTGTACAATAAGAGTATTTAATGGCACTGTTTTTGAATAATTACAAAGTGCTCAAAGCAACCAATCTATTCCAGTAAAAGTCTCAAATTTTGATATTTTGCAAATAAATTCAGTCTTTAAAAAAGAAACTAACAAAAAGATGAGTAATGGGGATTTTTTTTCTTTGTCTGTTTGTTTTGTTTTTGCTTTTTTTTTGGAGGGGGCGGGTGTGTTGTGAGTGGCTTTTTTAATTAAGTTGTTTTTACATTCTAAACGTTATTCCTTTCTAAGATATAAGTTTCCAATGCATATTCTTGATTTCTTATTCTGGGCATGACAAAACATTTTTAAGAAATACAAAGTGCTCAAGATCACTAATGCATGTTAATACTAGAGTGAAATGATACACAATAATAAGCAAATGTCTGACAAAACCTGCTGTAGAAAGTAAGAAAATTGTCTGTGTCTCCACTCAGATTACTGCCGATACTGTTGAAATGTAGCAGGATGAAAGTACTCAGGGAAGGACGAAGGTACCACGTACTGGAAACAAGCTGTAGAGTCAGGCTGGTAACAGTTTTGGTGGTGTGTGAGAAACTGAGAGTGTCCCAGTGACGAGGGAGCAGGTTGCTGAACTGTGCGCTGATTTGTGTCTGTGACCACAGGCCATTGGGCTCTCTGTAGATCCAACGGAGACTGGTGATAGTGTGAAGAAGAGACATCTTCATATTGCGGGTAAAGGGCTGTTGTTTCTGTCTGATAGGCCGAGGAATCGAAACATGTACTGGCCGTGTGAAAGGTTGCCAGTCCACTGCTCTGGTTCATGTAGTAGTACTGTGTCGGTGTCTCACGTGGGAAATACTGAAGGTTTCCAGAGTGTGAGGGGTGCACGAACTGTTGGTCATATCCTGCATGTTGATAGCTGAACTCGTTGAAAGGATGGCAGAACGATGAAGATGGTCTCTGCTCGATGGGTGAGTTACCGAAGTACAGACACGCTACTTCCTCGCCGGTGCTATTGTATGTGATTGGTGCAGTAACGAGAGCTTGAGCGGAGACGTTTTGTCGGACACGAAGTTCTGGGTGACCGTTAGTGTTGAGGATTTGTAGGATCTGGCAGACTGAAGACCGCTCTGTCGGATCTGCACACAGTAGACGTTGTACATATTGTCTGTAGGCGGGCGAGACTGATTTATCACTGTCCAACAGCTTTAAGTAGTCCGTGTTTTTCTGGGGCTTTTTACGAAACACAAGTGCCCACAGTAGAACGCCGACACAGAAACTCTCAAGCTTGAAAGCGTCTTTCACAGGATGGCCTCTTTTGAATTCCGGTCCGTGGTAGGCTGCGCAACTTCCCCATTCCTTCAAACTGTCCGTGTTTTCAGGGACTACCTGAGCATGTCCAAAGTCACAAAGCTTTGCCACTCCATCTTTACTCACCAATACATTTTCCAGTTTTACATCACCATGCACGACACGCCGGCTGTGTAGATAGCTCAAGGCCTCGGTGACCTGGGTAAAGTAGCGAGTGGCTTCCTCGTCCGAGACACGAGGTAAGGCGTCGAACAGATCCACAGGGTGGAATTCCAACACTATGACCAGAGACTCTGGGCAACTAGCCGCTCTCTCCATTGCTATGATGTTGGGATGGAGGAGGTCTTGAAGCATGGCCACCTCGTTGACGAAATAGAACCATTTCCTCGGTTTATCAACAGGGTCTCCATTCTCCAGAAAAATGAATTTCTTCAGAGCTTTCTTCTTCTCCGGATGATTGACGTCTGTAGCGAGGAAGACTTGGGCAGTTGCACCTCCCGCTAGAAGGCGATCTTCTTTAAAGCCTAGCGCCTCAGACACATTTACAGTGTGGGTCTCAAACAGTGGACGACCGAGTCTGAAAGTAGCACTCATACTGAAGTTGCAGGCAACGTACAAGATATACTCCAAGTGTAGGTTCTTGTATAACGTGAATAAAGCACAGTATAAGTCTTCTCAAAATAAATAGTCACTGACTCACCGTATCTATAAGAAACGTCTGGTCAAAACTTCCACCACAAATCCAACGAGTGAAACACACAACTTTTCACTAGGGAAATACTCAGCAAGTCACAAACACATAGAAATTGTCCAAAAATTTCGTATATCCAATATATGTGAACGTTGCTGTGGTCAAATAGAAAACAACGAAATTATAAGCAACTGAGTGTGATAATACTTTTATACCCACGCTTCTTTCGCGCCTTTTTCGTGGGGCGGAGTTAAGACTTAGTAATCAACCAATCATCGTTAAGATTGAACCCTCGGTTAGCCTTGCTGATTATGTCACCATCGCCGACAAAGAAAGTAGATAATCCATAGCGGACAAAGGTGACAGCCTCATGTTTGTAAGAGGGATTAAACTGTCAAAATAATTAAGTGTCTGTTCGAAATGCCTGGCAGCTATATAGCGTCTTTAATCACTTTAAAATTTCTTTGCTTTTTTTTTTCTCAAGAAGATTTAGAAAACTACTTTCCTTTTGTGGTTTTGAATTACAGCTTCGTTACATTGTAGGCTTGTTTGTGCCAAATATTTTCTTAACAATGGAAGTATTATGACCAGTCGGGAGAATTGTAGGAGCCAATAGGAATCGCGAGCCTGTGTTTGAATCACTACACGTGTGTGTGTGTGTGTGTGTGTGTGTATGTGTGTGTGTGTGTGTGTGTGTGTGTGCGCGCTTGTGCGTACGTGTGTGTGCGAATATATGTTATGTATGTGCACGTGTGTGTGAGTGTGTATGTGTGTGTGGTGAGTGGGGGGGGGATATGTCTTGCTATGTAGAAAGTGAAAATACCTGAGGGAATAGTGTGACACTTTAGGCGGCCGAGTCAGAATGAAAGGAGGAATTATGTGAATTACAATGGTAACATTATTTACCAAGAATTAAAGAACTTAACATGCTTTAAAAAAAAAAGAACAGAAATTGTGACACATAATTATGTCCTTGACAAACGAATCTTTCCATTATCCGTTAGCTGGCTGTAAGCGACGGTTTCAGTTAGGGCCTTCTTGTGATTGGTTGAAATACTTGTCAAACTATTAATAATTGTTACCCTGGGGCGTTGTGGGTACCGCATTGGCCCTCTGTCCTTTGTGTCCGAAATGCTTGTGATGACATAATTATTTGTTCTGGACTGCTTGCGACATAATCTTTTAACACGTACCGACGGTATTTGATAACCTTTTGATTCTTACAACCTCGTGACGTGTCACGCACTACTTCCCCATGCCACCCCTTCCACCCCTAATTCCAACACTCTCACCTACTGATACGGCGCCTTTTTGTGGTATACGCATTCTTGGGACGTTCGCTTTGTCTGCTTTATTTCAATTTTGCATTACAATATATTTATATATCTTTGTTCAACCGACTATTTCCCTCTCTCTATTATGGGAGATTAAGGTTACGTCTATAAGACGTCTTGTTGTTCCCACTAGTCACCTTGTCGAAACAGTAACTCACAACATCTTTGGTAATCTAAAAGGCACTCTCAATGTGTTGTCGTTTATTATTGGTGATGGGACTTTCACAACATGTATG